CACAGCACCTTGTGAACCTCCATGTGCAGATTTCGTGGCAGGTGCAGCACTTTGTTAACCTCCATGTGCAGATTTCGTGGCAGGCACAGCACTTTGTGAACCTCCATGTGCAGATTTCGTGGCAGGCACAGCATCTGGGGAGCTGGAAGCTGAGAACTGGCGGCTCTTGTAGTATAACTTTAGTACGCGGAGCAATTTGTGAGCTGGAAGCTGAGAACTGGCGACATTGTAGTACAACTTTAGTACGCAGAGTATCTGGCAAGCTGGACGATGAGAACTGGCGATTTTGTAGTACAACTTCAGTACGCGGAGCAATCTGTGCAGCTAGAAGCTGAGAACTGGCGACTTCGTAGTACAACTTTAGTACACGGAGTATCTGGCGAGCTGGACGAGGAGAACTGGCGACTTTGTAGTACAACTTTACTACGCGGAGTATCTGTGGAGCTGGATGGTGAGAAGTGGCGACTTTCTAGTACAACTTTAGTACGCGGAGCAATCTGTAGAGCTGGAAGCTGAGAACTGGCGACTTTGTAGTACAACTTTAGTACGCGGAGTATCTGTGGAGCTGGATGGTGAGAAGTGGCAACTTTCTAGTACAACTTTAGTACGCGGAGCAATCTGTAGAGCTGGAAGCTGAGAACTGGCGACTTTGTAGTACAACTTTAGTACGCGGAGTATCTGGCGAGCTGGACGATGAGAACTGGCGACTGTGTAGTACAACTGCAGTACGCGGAGCATCTGAAAAGCTGGAAGATGAGAAGTGACTGGCGACTTTCTAGTACAACTTTAGCAGGCGGAACAACCTGTGGAGCTGGAAGCTGAGAACTGGCCACTTTGTAGTACATACACTTGTACATGCCCAGTTGGTTCAACACGCCGTTGTGGGCTGCTGATCTTGTCGTGGCAAAGATACAACCCAGTACGCTGTTGTGAGCTGCTGATCCTGCAGGGGGCACACACCTTACACACGTGGAATCCCGTGGGTCAAAAGTCCGGAGCGCGTGCGTTTGACTGGAGGACGCGCATGTTGTAGAGAACGTGGACACTCCTATAGGTCAATTTCTTCTTATATGAAACTTCCGCCGCCGGCTTGCCCGGGAACTACTTGTATGATATGTGTTTTTAAATGCCTTCCCTGCAAAACGTGTCTTACAATTCTCGTGCCTTACCCATCATGCAACCTAGGGGCACTGATCCCCAAACCCCTCAGAACCATTTTGTTAGATTCCCGTGCCTCTAGGCGACTTGGTAAACTTGAAGTTCTTCTGAACGAATTTCTGTTTTAAGGATGTGTGGTCAACCCCCAGGATTTCAAAAGAGGAAGCAAGGGGGATAAAACTGTCGCTCCATGATTCCAGGACAAGCAGCATCAGCTTCCACAATCAGCTTGTTAATTTCCTGAGGAGCCCGTTGCAAAAAGGAGGATAATATGAAAGTCTCAGCAATACAAACCTGGACAACAAAGCCCCGCGAACCGTGAAGTTGCGAAGTCGTCCTTGACAACGCTCTGTGCCAGTTTCGGCTGCAATCCGGCTGCACAAGCGCTGGCTACAGAGTTCAAGATATGCCTGGGCAGTAGAAGGTGCATAGCCCTGGTGAGCATGCCTCTGCTAAAGCTGCACTAGAAAGCCATGGCATACATGTAGATTGAGGGAAAACTGTCGCAGCACATGAGTTCTGTGCGTGTCGGCCCGCAAGTGGCTGGCTTTGAAAGCTCGCAGCGCACGCTCCCACTGCTGAGCCTCTCAATGTTTCAGGGCTTTTACAGGGCGACTGGGCAAAAGTACAAAGCGCACCAAACACATTTGCTATATATATATAAATATCCGCCGAACCCACCCGACGGTGGGGGAGCGCGCGAGAGGATCCTGGATCAGAGTCCTGGTCCAGAGGTAGTTTTCAGGAGGCCTGAGACTGTGGGGGAGATGTGCTTTTAGCACGGGTATCGGGCGGCGTCTAAAAAAAGGAGACCGGATCTCCAGATGGAGGTCTGTAGAAAGGTGACGTTAGACATCCCGGGTTTCGTTTTCGGGGGTCGTTTGAG